AGTACGAGAACCGGTATTGTTCGCAAACTCACATGCAACCCCTATAAAGTCCCGCATACCCGAGTTTTGAGTGTATAAACCCTCATGTTTTTCCGCTCCATTTTCCGACAAACTTTCTCACACTTATCTAGTCCTTTGAAGGCCTCACCTAGTTTACGATATCAATTGAATTACAGAGCAATGGTGAAACTTCACCCTTTAGGACAAAAATGGGGACCGCTAATCAGCTTTGATAGTCTACCTCTGGTCAGAAAATCACCGATTGGTGTACTCCAGTGTGGTTTCCCTCCACAGGTTGGTTGATCACTACTACTGAACAACAAGGACTCTAAACGTGGGGAATTCAATCGCAAGCCCGTAAGTTCCTCCGTTCGAGCAAAAACCAATTCTGACAATCTCCTCCAGTCAACTTTCTGCGACCTGGTTTCTCGTGAGCCCAATGCCAAATTCCCTCCTGAGAGAGGTCGCTACCACCTCTATGTTAGCTATGCCTGCCCATGGGGTCGGTCACTTTATCCGATATGAAACGCTTGTACTAACAACCCTCAGCACACCGAACCCTCATCACCCGCGAGCTCAAGGGCCTACAAGACATAATTGGTGTTAGCGTAGTGCACTGGCACTTGGGAGAGAATGGCTGGCGTTTCGGTACCACCGAGGAGGCCGGCGAGTATCCAGAGGTGGCTGTTGGTCCGGAAGCAAACACTGGGGCGTCATTCCTGAGGGATATCTACTTCAAGGCCCAGCCAGATTATGATGGTCGCTACACGGTGCCTACGTTTTGGGATAAGAAGAATAACACTATCGTTTCCAACGAGAGTAGCGAGATAATCAGGTTTTTATATACGGAGTTTGATGACCTTGTTGATGAGAGCAAGAAGGGAATTACGTATTATCCTGAGGATCTTCGGAAGGAGATCGATGAGCTGAATGAGTGGATTTATGCTACCGTGAATAACGGGGTTTATAAAGCTGGGTTTGCGACGTAAGTGATCTCTGCCGGAAGTGAGTGTGTGGGCCATGGCTACTAACAACTTGATAGCAAACAAGAAGCCTACGAAGTCGCCGTCACAAAGCTCTTTGAATCTCTCGACCGTATTGAGAAGATTCTCAAGGACTCGGATGGGCCATATCTTCTTGGGAAGGTTCTCACAGAGGCAGATATCCGCTTGTACCCTACCATTGCCCGCTTTGACCCAGTATATGTCCAGCATTTCAAGTGCAATCTTCGAATGATAAGGCATGAGTACGAAACCCTTCCCCTACCACACCAGATACCCGTGGGGTCATGAATGGGCTTATTCTTGTGTCATAGTTACCCCGCAATCGAGAAGTGGATGAAGCATCTCTATTACGACATTCCGGGATTTAAGGAGACGACAAACTTTGAACACATCAAGAAGGTAAAAAAATTAACCCTTAGGGAGCGATATACGATTTAGCTCGTTAACGAATTCGATAGCATTACACCAAGTCGCATAGCCAGATTAACCCCAAGGGGATCACGCCTCTCGGTCCAGCTCCGGATATCATGCCGAGGGATGCTTAGTGGCGAGTTTTTAATCCGCTCATGTGTTGGGGGTTCGCAAGTGTTCATTGATGCAGTAGCTTATCCAATACCGGTATCGAAAGCGGACTATTCGTCGATATTTCTATAATCTGAAATTTACCTGCACACTTACCCAATGTACTCTACTTTCATCGGAATAAAAGTGAACTTTACCGATCCCCTTGTGCACTCACCTAGTACCGCCCAGATATTCGTGATGTGTTTAGGACAATCCAACCTTGTACCCTACCTACGTGCCATGCAACCCTCGCTACTGTATATGAGCTGGAAGCAATCATGGATAGATGTGTTCGGCCACAGAACGATGAAAATTTCGCATCCCGTCCGCTCTGCGGTAAACAAGCATCGTATCGACCGGTTAGTACTACAGTGGGTGACCATGTGGGAATCCCGGTTGCTGAACTCTTTTTTTTTTTTTTTTCGTAGCCAACATGGTTCCTTTC